CAGGCTACTGATTTCATGTAAGCCGAGGGTTTTAAACGTATTATTTATTAAATGAATAGTTATCATCGCAACTATGTTTCATCTGTTTTATGAAAAATGTTGTGTATCCGTGCAACATGTACTATATTATCATATAAGGTAACATCAAAAATAGCTGGCAATTTGCCACTATATGCGCGCGACGGTCACCCTCCTAGTTTTGCTGGCCGTACTTTACCCTTTTTTACCTATAACAATACATATTAATAAGAAAATCATGGAACGATAGGGTCGGTTATTTTTCCCATAGCCTTTCGCTAAATATTTAATAAGTGGAAATACATCATCTTGTCCCATTATTTGTAATAACTTTGGTACAAATATTAATGTTGATATAATATTACTAATAGAAGCTGCAATACAAGCTAAATCTATAGAAATCGGCCATAAGGAAATCGTTGTATAGTACTAAAAACACAAGAAAATAAATGTTAATTTCCATGCTTGACAAGTATACACATTAATTAAATGTCTACATCGTGGCTCAATCCTCCATAGCAATTTCTATARGAACAATTTGTAAAAGAACCATCATGTAATTCGGTTTCATTTCCACTAGCTTCTCTCAATTGAACCGATCCAGGTATTACTGTTAATAATATATACGTAGTTGTAGTAATAAGTATTGATAGTAATGTTCCTTTTGGTATTGAAGTACTAGGAACCTAAATAAATATTAAGTTTATGCTCTCTTGAYGAATTAATATTATTTTGTGTTTTACTTCAAGATCTCCCGATGAATATTTAACTCCAGCGTGAATGCCAGTTAGACATGGAAAAAAAATTGCGAAAACTGTAAAAAAATTTGTCTGCTCATGTCTGAAAATCCTATAGTCTGAATACCAGTTTTTTTTTAACGTTGCCACTGAAACGTGAATGATAATTAGCAATAAAAATTAATAAATAGCAAAAAAAAAAATATTACTATTGAATCCAGTGAAGCCTGATGCCTTTTCTAAATTACTTTTTGGGCCAATGCATGAGCCAATAAGTACGTTAAAAATACCAAAAATTATCGTTATCAGCAGAGCATATTGTATCTAAAATAATTAGATTATAACATCTTTAATAATTTATTAAATAATTTTATACTGACTTTAGATTCGTTATCCATGACTATATAACAAAGTATACTCAGAAATATTATTAATACTATTCGTAATAATATGATGTAATCTATTAGTATCGTAAATATTGTGTCATCAATTTCTTCAAGAATTATTACAAGTAACCATGAATTTAACATCGCAGAAACAGTGTTAGCTAATGCTAATAGCATACCAATTACCACTCCTAGTTCCGGACCAACTGATTGGGAAACAATGGAATATAGACCTCCTGTATAAATTAAATAATAATTAATTAATAAAGCTTTTTAACTAAAAAGTATATTTTTATTAATACATGATTCGGTCGATCAAACCAAATTTTATTTTAACTTAGGAAATTAAAAATAATTCTTAAAGTTAGTCGATCATTACATGAAAAATACAATTAAATGAGCAGCTCAGTAATTTATAAACAGATAAAAAGAAACTTAAGTTAAGTAAAAAGTTATCGACGTTGGTAACTTCAATTATAACTTTCTAACTATTTAATGACCATGCTTGGCTATATTGTGTAAGATAATATTATTATGGAAAACAGCTACGACCTAAGGTTACATCTTACATGCATGTTTATTGGAATACTTTCAAAACTTTTTAAAGATATTTTTGTGGTTAAAATGTTTTTGGAATAGATTTCGAATATAATCATTACTAAATAAGTCTGAACTTGCATCGAAATAAGCATAGTATTATTCAATTTCTAAATTTTGAATGCATTTCTTTTCATTTTTTTTTTTTTT